GGAATCACACATCGTCACTCTGCCCTCTAAGGGTTAGGGGTGTAACAAGGCTAAAAGAAAGAAAATTGATACAATATTACTTGTAGAAAGATGTAGAAAAGAAAACATAAAATCCTAAACTTAAAAAAAGATAAAATAAAAATAAAGCGAAGGCATCACTGTACGGCATTTTCACATTTGACTGAGTTATTGCACATTAAAATTGTACATATTGCACATTGGTTTTTACACATCGGTTGTTTGTGAATGTATAGTTGCCCATATGCGTTCGCACTGCGGTGATGTGTTGCGTTAAGACCCTACACTTTGCCATGCTTCTCCTCCTGCATACTTTGTCCTAGAGCTGCCATTGTAATTTATATCTGTAAAGCTCCTGTGCCAAATGATGGCTATGCCTTTTGGTGCCTGTAAAACTTATAGTTTATGAAATATTAATGTTTAATGAATTATAATGGCAGTCAATGGAGCCTTGTATTGGTCCAATACTCCCCCCTGCTGTTCTCAACTTGGTACTGCACCATAGTTTAATATTTCAACTCAGTAGGTCAGTGTTTACAGTACTAATATGATTTTATTTTGATGTTTTACTATAATATTGTCTTAATACTGCTTGATTGTTGTAATATTATGCATTTTTGTGTCAATAATTGAATTGGCAATGTGGCGTCTTTCTGCACACATACAAACCAACCCCTGCCACCATCTTCTGTCATAGCTCTATTGGTCTAATGTTCTACAGTATGTCATGGACTTTCATGTGGGAGATCAGGGTTCAAAACCCAGCTAATGCAACTTTAACTAAAAATCTCTTCAAATTTCATATTGTCACACAATTACCTTAATTCTAAACACCTGCTGATGTGACAGGCACAAGCTGGTGCAGAAAACACATTTGAACTTGGTCAAAGTTCATTCTGCAAGTCCAAAGCCATGCTGCAATGACATGCTACATGGCAATGTACACTTGTTTTTACATCGTAAAAACAAGTCTAGTTTGTATTTTGATTTCCCTCCGTGTTTGCGTTGCATCTCTTTCTGATGGGCTTCACGTCACATTCAACAGGCTGCGTGCTCATTGGTTCACACATGCAGGGACATCGAGCCAAGACAACCCAACACTTTGAATATGGTAAATGGACTGAACTTATCGAGCGCTTTATCAAGTCCCCCCGGACCCCAAAGTACTTTACACTCACAGACATTCACACATTCACACACTGATGATGGCATACTACATTTTAGCCACAGCTGCCCTGGGGCACACTGACAGAGGTGGGGCTACCACTGGACCCTCTGACCACCATCAGTAGGCAAGGCGGGTGAAGTGTCTTGCCCAAGGACACAACGGCTGGACGGGGGATCGAACCGGCGACCTTCCGGTACCAGGACGACTCCCCTAACCACTCCGCCACAGCCGCCCATATCCCTGATTTGCAATCAGAGAGGTTTAGACGTCCTTCTGAGCCAGCAGGAACATTTCCTGAGATTATCTTCAGAGCCATCGTGATAATCGAGGCGTCCTTAAGATTGTCAGAACGGCAAAACCGGGCCAGAAATCTGCATGTTTATCTTGCCGTGTGAGCCCATCATTAGTAGAAGATCACATGACCCTCTCGGGAAGAAATCCTTGTAAATCTACATCAGATTACATTTTAGCGTTTGTCACATTCAGTCTTAAAAACAGCTCTAACTACACACATTCAGCTCAGTAAGGAGTGGTAGCTGAGTAATTCCAATGATTATCTTTCAGAAATAAATCATCTCAGTATCTGATGAGATGGCTCACATGGTCATTTACAAGGTTTGACCAGAACGACTGTCTCTTTTCAGCACAAGCTGGAAAAAGAAAATAATTTGTTTAAAACTGAACGAAGGCCAGTGTTCTCCAATTTGTATTTTTTTTAAATGACTCTTCAAGGACAAGAAATTTAAATACTCTACACTCCTTTTTGTAAAGTGTTAAGCCAATTTTCAGTGCATTTCTGACACTACTACACACACACTGCTCTGGAACATTTCCCATTTTCTTCTTTCGAATTTCAAACACATTTTCAGCTCGTCTCCAGATCAAAGCCTTGATGTGAGACATTTGATTAGTTTAGAGGGTTCATTTTAGTCTGACCTGAGCCATGTTTGGGATTTTCCTACGTGAAGCTTTCCTCACCAAGGTTGAGGATGTGAACCATCGCCTCCGTCCCCAGTGTGTCGTACAGCGGCACCAGAACCATGGAGTAGGTGTAGCAGGCCATCTCTGAGATGACCCACTGTCTCCAGCAGAGGGAGACAAAGCAGCGCAGTTAGACACACACCAACTTAACAGAGGAAAAAAAAGGGGTTTATGCACAATATTCTGCTCTGCCATGCATTTCTCATTTACTAAACAAAAGCTATGTTCTAAATAGACTGCCCTTGAGATGCAGATTGGAAAAAAATAAATAAAAAAAAGCTAATTTTCTGCTTCATCAGACCTCTCAGCCTCTCATTAGACCAGTCAACACAGAAACAGAACGACTTGCCTGCTGGATATATTAAATAAAACTGCACCTTGTTCTCAATATGAACAAAAGGACAAACAAACTCTCAGGGAGGATGAAAAGAAAAATCACTTTAAAATGAAAGTACTGAGCTCTAAAGACAGAATTATATAATATTAAACTTACACTACAGGAATTAGTTAAAGCTCTATCCACGCTCCTGATGGGAGGAGGGTTTCATTTGGAAGAGCAAATTATTTTAAAGACATGAAAGGATCATCTTCAGCGAGGAAAGAAAAAAATAATTTGGGATTAAAAAATACACTCACTGTAACAACTTTTAAACAAAACTAGGCTAGAATGATGCAAACTGTTAATGTGCAAATTCAGTTCTGAGTTTTATTATCACAGCCGCCTGAATGGATCAGTTATTTCACAGCTGTGTGATTCTTTACATCAATATGCTGCAGGTGTATTCTGGAGTCGTTTCACTCATGTTGCATCAGAGGCAACAGACTTCTTTTAAATGAATAACTATCTGACATTTTAGTGTCTTGAATCAGACTTTTTCTTTTCCATTCATGTATTTTTCAGGAGAACTAACTGGTTTCAGGATAATAACGTCACATGTAAAACATCATACCATCCAAACTAGCTCCAGAACAGAACAGGCTTCTTGCATAGTTGGAAATAAATCTCTACAAAAAGGTCAACAAACTAAGAAGTGTTTAAGTCTTACAGGTGACAGATCATGCTTTTAAATGCTTATTTTTCACATTTAAATAATTCAGATGGGGTCTATTTAAGCAGAACTACAATGCTTTGGTCTGAATTCCTCTTTATTTTAACTTTACCAGCTCATCTTTCACCCATTTTCTGAGGTCAGAGCGACTTGTTTTGATGCTGTATCTTTAAATCCATACGAGGCGTTCCGTCACAAATAAATTGACGGAAATAGAGAAAACTGAACGGGTTGAAAAATAAGACCCAAACAGAAAAGAAAGACATCTATGAAGCAAAGATAGAGACTAAATTCAGCTTTTCTGCAGAGACTCCAAATACACAACAGAATGTATTTAACGGCTAAAAAGGTGGATTTTGCATAATGTCCCCTTTAACTGAGGCTAAAATTGTTTTGTGCTAAACTACTTATTTTGTCTTGTAGTCCAGGTGAAAGGTCATACAGAATGGAAAACTGGACCAAATCATCAAACTCCCTCCACCATGCTTGACGGTGCAGAGGTAGTCCTGCTTAAAATGCTGAGTCAGACATTTACCTACAGAACCTGAAAATTGTATTTTTCTTATTGTACAGAAAAAAAAGAGTTTCAGTTTTATGGGTAATAACTTTATAACATTTTATAGATCCATCCACAGCAAACATTATGGAGCCTGCGAGGGGACATGGGAGATTTTTTTTTCTTTTGCGTTCCCACACAATAGTATTGCATTCCCTCGCAAAAGTCGTTAAACACAGTTGTGCCTGCCGGTTCATAACACATTCACCTGCTCACCATTAGCGAGTTAGCCTACTACTTTAATTCAGCTTCAGAATGAATATATCACACAGCCACGCATGGAAGTATGTCACACACCGATATTTTAACACAGTGCAGCCACGCAACATCAACGTCAGTTTCACAAACTTGTGGCAACACATCCTGTTTTGGTAACCGTATATTTCAAAATAAAAGTCTGACTTGATTCAGTTCACATACAAAACAAAAAACTTTTGCGTGGGAATACAAAACAATTTTGCGAGGTAACGCAAAAAGTATTGCGAGGTAACGCAAAGATATTGTGAGGTAACGCAAAAGAAAAAAAAATCCCATGTCCCCTCGCGGGCTCCGTAAAATATTGCTCCTTCAGGATTGATGATGTTTTTTTTTCTACCTTGGCCTTGTGTTGATAAACTCCTGAGGTTGCATTTAATTTATTTTAATCCTGGTGTGAACCAGGTCATTTTTAAAAATATACTCATTCATCGTTAGTCATTTATTTTTACTCTCATGTCATACCCTCTTGAGCCATAACTATTTTAATGTGTTTACTTCAAAATGACAAAAGTCGCAGCAGTGACTCTTTAGGTTTGTTGTTTGTAATCTTAATCCATGTCTCTGGTTATTGGCACACTGCGTCATTAAGCTGTCTTAATTAGTGTTTCTTCTAGCCTTTAGCACATTCGTGTTACCACAAATAAAAAGTTTGTTTTCCTTAGCGGGCGTTATTAGGTGACATTTTCTCATTTATTGCTGCCAGCTGAAGCTAAAACCCTCTGTGTAGTACTAGTGACGAGTTCATACCTCCGGCCTGTTCGGTGAAAATACTGCAACGTATTTCTGGCAGCCTTTAGCAATCATGCCACTGCCCATCCACTGGGCCTGCTGAGTCACCTGGAAGATCGAACACGTTCAGTTAGAAGGTGTCACGCAGCAGGGCCACCATGACTGAGGAATCATTAATCAAACCTCAACATAAGAGATCCATTCGTAGGGCTGACCTGGCTTTCTGAAGCCAAGACATGGACCATTTCCTGAAGGAGACAAACACTGTTAAAACAAAGCCTTTGCTCTTTTAAGTTTCATAGGTTTTAGATTGTTTTATATGTGATTAGGTAAAGCATTTTGAAGTTAAAAAGCATGTCAGCGTTCATCACCTGAGACCTTCACTCCTCTCTGGAACATTTCATACACCGTCCTGATGTCGTCATGATAGAATTCAAACAGAGTGTCGTCTTTAATCAGAGCGGACCGCCTGCAGCTCGGATCTCCCTGCAGACAAACAAAATCCTTACAACTGAGCACACGTCACTGCCGTCTAAAAACTCGCATTCTGCAGCGATGCACTCACGCCGACGGCGACGGACTGGGCCTGCAGGTCGCAGGGAGGACTCATGGGCCGAGGACGGGTCACCAACCAGCACACTGTGAGGGAGGCTAGGGCTCCGAGACCCAGCAGAGAGGAGGTCGACAGAGAGAGGGAGGGCAAGGATGGCAGCAGAGTCCACAGGTCGTCCGAGTCAGACACTTTAGTTTCTGCGTGGGAGAAAAGCGACCGCAACCACTCCTGGAACTGCATAACTGAAGAGGACAGCAGAATGAGAACGTACTCTGAGAAACTAAAAATATGGAAATTATATGGTGCTTAAATAGACTTTTAGGTCTGCTGCATTAAAAAAAACATATGCAGGAAGTGACAAACATGTAACAACATGAGGAATTTATGGAATTGATTTTGTTTAGTTTGCCTGATTAAAAACAGGTTGGACCTCATGCAAGAACATGTTCGTATTATTATCCTAAATTTCTCTTACTTTTGTTCGTACGAACGTGTCACGTCAGATTCAACAAACTCTTCTATCTTCAGGAAAAGTGTGTAAATGAGGAGCATAAACTGATGAATCAGCTGCTTGTGCACGGGGAGAGGTGATTTACGTAATTACCACCCCAAAAACACCATATATGGATATACATTTCCTGCCACACATACCAGGACATGTCCAGTGACATTTCAAAGTAAAAGAAGATGGTTGATCAAGGTCTAAAACATTAAATCACAAACATTATGTGCAACATCCAAGTGAGTGGATGAGAGTTGCTCCGGTGCTGCACGTGAAAACAACCCTCATAAAACATCACCTCCGCTGATGAAGAAATCACATAAATGTTGATTAATAATTAGGATTGCCATGAACAATGGCAACCTATTATTATCCACCTCTAAACTGGACTCTTTATTTATTTATTATTCATCCCAGAACTTTCACCGTTAATGCGTTCGGGCCCCATGAAAAATACATCATTGCGTCGGTGTCGATCTCACGAGGTGTGTTATTATTTATCTTTACATAATCTGTTATCATGGCGACGTAATCCCCAAAAAACTAATCTAAAAATCCCCATTGGATTACATGGGAAGCTCCTCACTCTAGGTCAGGGGTGTCAAACTCCAGTCCTCGAGGGCCGCTATCCTGCATGTTTTAGAGGTTTTCCAGCTCCAACACACCTGATTCAGTGATTGAATTAACTCTTCAAATTGGGCAGAAACCTGTTAATTACCCAGCGATCAAAATCTGGTGTGTTGGAGCAAGAAAACCTCTAAAACATGCAGGATAGCGGCCCTCGAGGACTGGAGTTTGACACCCCTGCTCTAGGTCATGTGACCTTAGAGTGTGAGCTCTGTAATTTTAAAGAAGAAACTTTGCAAACAAATTCCTACTACAGCCACAATTTTCACGTTACAAAGACAAATTACACATCAAAACGTAGGAATTTTTGTCTTCTTTCAGAAAATGTGCTGGTTTGGCTCTAAGACAATTGTTTTTTTCTCTACGTGCTTCAGAAACCAGCAAAACCAAGTTCCTTCTCCTATCTCTTCCATTCAAAACATGGTCAAAACCGGATTCAGAAATCTAACACTTACTACTTTTTAAACTCGTGATATCTCAGCCATAAAGCCAAGTACATGCTTGAAATTTTATTTCAGTAAAGACCAAAGTCTTCTGACGCTCAAGGTCCAAAAATTATTTCAATAGCCCTCATATTTTTTGTACAGCAGCTGTTTGAAAGGACACATCATTTCTGTGTTTTCAGACAGAGGAGCTGCAGATTTTGGTCTCCCATTAAGTGCAGCTGAGCTGCTGCTGGGAATCCAGCCTCCTGATTGGCTGAGGCTGTAGTGAGTTAAAGTCAATGTAGGTTAAATGTACATAAATTTCATTTGTTAACACGGTAATACAGTAAACACACAAAGACCTCCATAAAACTCCTTTGGTAGCTGACAGCTAACTCCACACAATATGAATGCTTCTCACAAGTTTAAGCTAATTGCTAAAGATAACTTTTAAATAATAATAAAAAAGACTCACATTCAGCCATTTAAAACCATATGCAGCTCAGTCTACACTCCAACTGTAGGTTAGGCAGTGTCTTACCTGTAGCAGATACATATCATAGGTTTATACAAACTTATTTAATTCAGCCAGTTTTCAACCTAATTAGCTAAAATTTGGTACACTAGTAGCTAAAGGTCAGCTCTATCAGAAATAGTAGCCGAAATAATAAATACAAGATGGCCGCCATGGCTAAGTTCAAATTACTCTAATCCAGCCAATTTCTCATATATTGGGCTAATATTTTATACACAAGTAGCTGACAGTAAGCTCTATCACAAATAGCTGAAATTAAAATCCAAGATGGCCACCATTGCTATTTTCAAATGGCTTTTGCTCAGCCTCTGTTTGATATATTGAGCTGAAACTTGGTTTACTGGTAGCTGACAGTAACCTCTGTCACATAATGGAGCGGAAACTTCAAAAACAAGATAGCACCCGAAGGAACTTCAGCCACTTTTTCTCCATGCAAATGAAAAGGACATTTTTTCAACATGAATGCACCCACACAAGTTATACGTCCAAACGACCGGCTCGGCCAGGGGAACTGTGTTCTTACTCAAATGTATATTTCATTGTTACCAAGGTGACGCAATAGGCCGACAGAGACACCCAACAAATGCCAATGGAAATGAATGGAGTAGGCCTCAAAGCCTTCAAAACCTTAACGCTTTTTGAAATAGCTCATGAACCACTGATTTTAAACTTTATAAAACTCTAACACAGTCATCATTGGACAGTCCTCTGTCACTGTCCAACACATTTGTCCAACTCAGATACAAGATGGCTGTCCAAGCAACCCTGGATTACCATATAAGTGCTGGACATCAGCACATTTTACATATGCTGAATGAATATAATGTGTGAAATTAAGTGTGAAAAATCTTTAGAACAACTGATCCTCTTTATTAGAGTATTCAAGTCTTACAAATGACAAAAATAACATAGAAAAATGTCTGTTAGCAAAATATTTCATGTACCAAAGCACAAATTCAGCCAGAAAATACACAAAATGACTTATAAATCAGTCATTTCTTGACCTTTAAAGATAATATTTGCTAAAGCAGTTGCTTCAATTGAAAACACAGACTTAATACATATTTAGGATGGCCACTAAAAAAAGTCTTATACAGCAACCCCTTATAGCAACATAGGACGAGTTTTACACAGCTGACAATCCTCTCATAGTTTCTCCAGGAATTATTCTAGTTAATAATTATCAACCACTGCAAAAGTCAATCATGTATTTGTCCGTGTCTGTCTGTTAGCAAAATATCATGAACAACTGGACTAAATTAAAACTAAAATATTAATTAGATGTACATCTACAACTGATGAACTCTTACAATTACCACAATTCAAAATGGTCGCCACAGCTAATCGATGTCGGCAAACACAAAAATGGCTGCGACCTCGTCATTTTTAAATACTGAGCTAAAACTTGGTGTGGTAGTCGCTGAAAGTTCCCATGACCATGTACCCCAAGTGCTACACAGAGTATGAATTTTAATTAAAACTGTTAAGAGTAACCTTGTTTGTCTGTTAGCAAAATAACAAATGAGCCTCAGGACAGTTTTTAAAGACAAACACCAAAAAAAGCTTAACTTTTGGAGATTTTCTCTTTAAAAATGAGGGAATTCTATCAAAATACATTTGAATGAAAGCAGTAAATGAATAATAAATCCAGATGATCTTAAAGAGAAGATGATTTTATTCAGGTCAGAAATATTCACACCAAAAGCTGGTACCTCTGTTTGTTCTTTTTATATTGGTTGTACACAGTTAACCAACACTGACGCTAATTGTTTCATGTTTTTCAGGCTTGATTCAGCTCTCCATGGAGCTTGTCTTTTTTTTTTTAACAGGACGTTCCACCTCTGAACGTGTCCACAGAGTCCTGCCTGAGCAGTCTGCTGAGGCACAAAAACTTGGCAGAGGAAAAAGACAAAACAAAAACAAAAACAGAGGAAAAGAAAAGATTTGGTCTCATGACAGAGGGGAGGTGGGGAGACACCAGGAAGTAATATGGATTGGCTTAACAGGAACAGGCGCTGGGGTTACTGCCAGTCATGTTTCGACACCGTTCACCCTGGGAGGGAGGGAGGGAGGGGGAAGTTTCAGCAGGGGTAGGGGGTGGGGGGGCAGACAGTAGGGTGGGGCGACAGGTTGCTTTACCGATCGTGTTCAGCCACACGTCAGTGTTCAGATAAAATGTATCCATTATGTGACAGTAATTATGGCAACTTGAGTTTGATTCAATATATTATTTATTTATTTTTCATTAAACTGCTAATTACTCTCTCTGTGTGGCAAATTCACGTTTCACCAGAGAGGGAATTCATCTCAACTAATAAATGACTCCCCTCCTTGAATACCCCTCAACCTCTCACCTACTTCCTCCTCCACCAGGGGAGGGGGGGAGACATCTCCCCCATTTTTCTTTCACCCCCCCTTTCCCTGCATGGCAATGCCACAGTTGTTCTGAGGATTTATAATCTTCTTTAGGTAGTAATTTATGTGTTTAGTTTCCACTTTACACCTGCTGAAGCGGCAAAGCAGCTGCTGATCCCCCTGAGCTTTCCCACTAAACTGAACAGAGAGGCTTTATGAAAAGTGGCATAAAAAATGACAGTCTGGTGAAGAAAAGTTTCCTGCAGCCCCCCTTTTTCCCCCTGTCTCACCCTGCCAACCCTCCCTCATCTCTCATTCCCTTTCATTACAGCCACTGTCGAGGCGCAGACAAGGACCATTGTGCTCCCAGCTTTGTACTCCCTTTAAGACACGAGACAAAAAATAAAAACGACAAAACACATGAAATTTTAGTGAACGAAACAAATGCCTCTCCAGTCTGCGCCAGAGAGGAACAACCTGAGAGTTCTGGAGGATCAAAATCCCGTTTCGAACGTTGGAACAGATCAAGCTCACGCATCAAGTCAAGTGATACACGAGCAGAAACAGTTAATTGAGGAGGTTTGGTTGCAAATAAAAAAAACACACTTTTGCACAGACTTGCACACGTAGAGCAGTGAAACAGCAGAATGCAGGTTCACAGGGTGACAGCAGGTATGTAACAGAGAGCCTGAGGCCCTCTGCGAGTCTGAGCACATGTAACAAGCAGAGGCAGAGCCGCTGACAAACCCAAACCCAACTGCAGAAAGCAACTGAAACTGTGGAAACACCTGGGGTCGGATTTATAAAACTGGCGTATGCACAAAATGAGCCCAGAACCTTGCGTACGCCACTTTTTACACCAAGGTTGTGATTTATAAAATCCAAACTTGACGTGAAAATGTGCGGTGCCTCACGCCAGCTTTGACCCATGCGTACGCTCATTTTGGAGACGGGAAGCTGCGACACAGATGGTGAAGTGAGGAATTAGAGCCACACTGTGTAATGATCACTGTCAGAGATTTAATTTAC